GAAAGAGGATGAATTCGTTTGGGACATGCAAAACAAGTCACCCCCTAAATATTGCCTAAAGATTGACTCACTACTCTCTCCTCCTTCATATGTCCTGCACCTTTTAATCTGCCATGTGGGAAATGCATTTATGCAGCAATGCAACTCGTGCCACAATCACTGACCAGGGACCAGCTGTGGACCAGGCACAGGATTAGGCTCCTGTTGTCAAGGAATCCCTCGTCTAAGTGGGAGGTTGGAGTGCGTGCTCTGACAGACCTGAGGGCTGGCGAGGTGCTCAGTGTAGGTGGTGAGTCTTCTTTCTACACATGCGGAGCAGGGCATGGACCTCTCACAGACAGGGCTTCTGAGATTGTGGCACCAGAGACCCAGGACAAGCACAAAATGCCCCTCCGTTCTGCTGCGTCCTTCTTGTCTCAGGGTGACACCAGTGGAGGCGGAAAGGCCCTGAAGTCGTTTTGGCATCACAGCACTACAGAGGTCTATTTGGAGCTTCATGGAACCTGGTTACAGCAGGCCCGGGGCCCGCTGAGACAGGACTGACCAGGAGGGGTCTTTAAAACTCTAACGTGGGTCAGCATTTCAACCTGCTAGAGGAGATCCGCTTTCCAGTGCTCTATTCCCTGGGAGAGCAGAGACCCTCTGTGCAGAGGGGGAGGCTGCTGCCCTTAGGAGTGGCCTCCGGTGCTCCAGGCTCCTGCCAAGAGCAGGCACTCCTGGCCTTTCTCTGTCACAGGAGGTCACTCTGGCCTCCACCTTGGACTCGAGGGCCAGGTGGGGACAGGAGGCACCAGGTAGGTGCCAAGGCCCGAGGCCCGCTGTCTCATGGCCTCCCTCTCTGTGCTCTACCTTCCAGCCTCAAGCCCTTCTCCGGACAGGCAGGACACCCGGCGGCCAAGGAGCAGGAACCCCTCTACCTGGTCCGTGGAGGATGTGGTCTGGTTCGTGAAAGACGCAGACCCGCAGGCTCTGGGGCCCCACGTGGAGCTCTTCCGGAAGCATGTACGCGCAGTGGTGGGCCTGGGGGCGGTCAGGGGGCTGCAGGGGGCTCTGCACTATGCCTGGGGGCACCACTCAAGGGAGGCCAGACGGAACCACAGGGTTCTCAGAGCGGAACAACCACCTAGTTTTGTTTGTCCCATCCGTTCCCTCACTTTGGCCTTTATCAGGAGTGCCTGTTTTCCTGCCCATCCATCCGTCTGTCTGTGCATCCATCTGTCTGTGCATAAACAAACATTTATAGCACACCTACAATATGCCAACAGACAGTGCCTATTGCTAAGCTGCCTTGAGGATTAAATGAGAAAATGCACATGAAGTGTTCAGCACAGCGCCTGGCTCGTAGATGGCCTTTGGTTAGCAGGCCAGCTACATATTCGCGTAATTATTTAGGAGATTCTAAAATGTATAAAGATGGTCATTTTTTTTAAAAGGTAAGAATTAGCACTTCACCTGCCAAGCTTCCTACGTCAGTTATCGATTGTTGCTATAACCCGTCACCACAAACGTAGTAGCTTAAAACCACACAAGTTTATTATCTTACGGTTGAGTGGGTCAGGAGTCTGACAGGGGTCTCACCGGGCTAAGACCAAGGTGTCGGTGGGGCTGACATTCTCTCTGGACGCTCTAGGGAGAACTCATTTCCTCGCCTTTTCAGCACTGAGATCCGCCTTCATTCTTGGCTCCTACCTCGCTGTCCTCATCCTCAGAGCCAACATCAAGCTGAGTCCTTCCCAGGCTGCCAACTCTTTGGTTTTTTCTTCTGATTTCTTCTTCCTCTTCGAGGGGCCCTGTGATGGCACTGTCTCCTCCCTCCCCAATAATCCAGGATACGCTTCCTATTTTACAGGCAGCTGATTAGGAGCCTTAATTCCATCTGCAGCCTTAATTCCCCTTTGCCAGGTAACCTAACATATTCACAGGTTTCAGGGATTAGGACGTAGCAAGGACCGCAGAGGGGTTATGTTTAGACAGATCTGGGTGGGAGGACTCTGGCTTCCTTCCAGCATGACAGGAGGCAGTGGAAGTCTAGGAGGTGGGGGAAAGAGAGAACATTCGGCAGTGAGTCCCCTGGGAGGGCCCGCAGATAAGCTCTGAGTGACGCAGGGTAGGTGCTTCATCAGTGCTGGCTGAGTGGCTGGCTGGAGAGAGGAATGAGAGGGGCTGCTACATGAGTCCTGTACTGTGCCTCTTCTCCCCACCTGAGCACCCAAAATCTCTACGCCTGGTCTCTAGTAATCTGAAAATAGCACTATAGGTGAAGGAGGAAACCCAGCCTTACTAAGGAGTGATACAGTGTGGTAGTACAGGGGGAATGATTGGCTACAGCAGTGAAAAATGTGGTACCTATTGGTATGCTCTCGGGGTTCTTGTACATGTAGCATAGATGACCTTTGCAGTGTCCCTCCCACCTTCCCACCTGCATTAGGTGTTCTCTTTTTTATTTTTTGAACTTATTTATTTTATGTATGTATTTTTTTGGCCGCACTGGGTCTTCATTGCAGTTCAACATGCAGTCTGGAGGGTTACCATTTTCAGAGGCAAATGGGAGCAATATCGGGACCTCAGAGGACTGGCATTCCCTTAGTAATTATTTGTGCTAAACCCTCAGATGAAGCAGGTGCATTATTTCGTTGTATGCCACCTAGTAGTATTGACAGGGCCAAAAAACACCTGAAATCCCTTATAGAGTGTTGTTAGCAATTTGGTAATCAGCGAAAGGCAGGTGAGTGTCCCATGAAAAGAAACCAGAGATTAGGATGATGGATGGAAGTCAGGGCCTTATACCAGCACCTGGAATGGAAAGGTAACTACTAGTTTCAGGGTCTAGTGGGATGATACTTTGCCTTAGTCAGTCCAGGCTGCTGTAACAAAGTACCACGGACTGGCTGGCTTATAAACAACAGCGATTTATTTTTCAGTTCTGGATGCTGGAAGTTCAAGATCAGGTTGCCATCAAGGTTTGTTTTTGGTGAGACCCTTCTTCCAGGTTTCGGACTGCCATCTTCCCATTGCATGAGGACACTAATCCCATTCACGAGGGCTCCACCCTCATGACCTAATTACTTCCCGAAGTCTCACCTCCAAATACCACCACTTGGAGGTTAGGATTTCAGCATATGAATTTGGGGAGGGGGTGGGGGGGCACATTCAGTCCATTGAACACTGCTTGCTTGTTTAGCCCTAGATTGGATGAAGAGATAAACGTATGTGGGATATTGGGAGTATGGCTGGGACTATGTTAGATTCCTTCAATCAGGAGAGAGCAGGAATATGAAAGATCCACTGTATCAAACGACCCCAGGGAGAATATGGGAAGAGGAGCACATAGTATTTGTAGGCTTTCGTTTATTTTCTTAAGGTCTTGCCTTGGGACTAAGAGAATATGTATCTAAGTAAATTCATATTCCCTTACTTTATTCCCTGACCATACTCTAACTGTGGCTACTATTTGATTACTTTGACCACTTTCACTTTGACCGTTTTCTTTTTTCTGATTCTGTTCCACCAGGAGATTGATGGCAATGCCCTCCTGTTGCTGAAGAGTGACATGATCATGAAATACTTGGGCCTGAAGCTGGGACCTGCACTGAAACTCTGCTACCATATTGATAAACTGAAGCAAGCCAAGTTCTGAAGGCGTTTAGAAGATAGAAGCAAAATCCAGACAACATCTCCAGATCATCTTCTGCCTTACCAACATTTGCCACCATCACAAAGATTCTCTCCTGAAAAAGAAAAGCCACAAAGACTTGGTCTTTTTATAAAACTCGTGCATCTTGACCTTTTAAAAAATTCAACATGGCCCTTTTGAAATGTTCTTCTGTGTTAATGATTTGCCAAAAAATTACAAAGAAGCCTGTTATTTTTAACATTTCTGGTAGGTTGGTTGCTCTTAGGGTAGGTACTATTTTTATAATGAGAGCGTGGAGAACTGAATGCTATCACCCAAGGAGGACACTGGAGACATCCAAGGATGTGAAAAGAACCTTTGTCCCTGCAGGCTCTGCGGGGACACCCACCGCAGCACTACCTGTCTTTAGCTCTGACTTGGGGACCCTATCATTGTGAGCCTTGCTTAATTCAGCTCTGGAAGCTGTCTTCTGAGGATAAATGCCTCACCTTGCACTATCTGGAAAACTTGAATTCTTTTGCTCTCTGAAAGAGAAGGAAAAAAAAAATCTTTTCTATTCCTAGTTATCTGAAGTACTGTGTTGCCCCACTAGGGGGCAGACTGCTAATGTGTTTTCCGGACCCTCACTTCAGCAGCCTGATATTCAATACCCAGTGGATGGATTAGGGTTTCTGTGAACAAGACCTCGCCTACACAGACACAGGGAATTTATTCCACAGTCAGCACCACAGATTGCAACTTGGGAAGAAACCGTCTTCTAGAAGGTTCTAGTTCATATCCAGTCATTACTGACTGAGGTGCACCAGCAGCAAATTCAAGAATTTGGAAGCACATTCTTCCCAGATGGGGCTTTGGAGTTCCTTCCCTTCCAGAGTCATTACTGAGGTGTCGATGTATTGGCATGCCGGAGAGCTTAGTGACATTTAGCCATGGTGTTTTTTTAAAAAAGAAGAAAGATGTCTCTACTAAGCTTTGAAATGGGAGAGTGTTGATTTCTAGTTACATCGTGGGATTATATAGTTGTATGTGTGGCTAATTTTAATAATAGCATGTGCACAGACATGCTACTATTGGGTTTAATTCAATTTACAAATAGGTTTTCCTTTCTCTCCGTGGAGTAATAGAGAAAAATTGATTTCTACCCTTTTGCAGCTGTGTCCAGGGACGGACAATGAATCCACAATTTACTAGGCAGAAGGGCAGCCTTGTCTCCATTCTTCTTTTGATCCTTTTCCTTTCTCTCTCTCCCTGTCTCTTTTCTCCTTCCTCTCTCACTGAATAGGAAACATATCTTCAAAATGAATTTGCCTTTGCCGTGGGCATGTCCTCTTCCTTAAAAAACATCCGTAGTGGGCTTCCCTGGTGGTGCGGTGGTTGAGAGTCTGCCTGCCGATGCAGGGGACACGGGTCCGTGCCCCGGTCCGGGAAGATCCCACATGCCGCGGGGCGGCTGGGCCCGTGAGCCATGGCCGCTGAGCCTGCGCGTCCGGAGCCTGTGCTCCGCAACGGGAGAGGCCGCAACAGTGAGAGGCCCGCGTACCGCAAACAAACAAACAAACAAACAAAAAACATCCGTAGTGTTGTAAGGGAGGAGATGAATACCAGACTTTGTAACCTCTGGGAGGGGGAAGATCAAGGGCCACTCAGGGCCTCCCTTGGCCCAAATGCAAATCAGAAAAGGCACACCATCCTCGGGATGCAGCCTGGATGGGCGTCTTGGCCGGTGAGTGGAGCAGGGTGGGATTGCAGCCTTCTCACCCCTCCACCAGGTGACCTTGTGCAGGACAAGACCGGTACAAACTTGAGGGCAGCCCTGGGTAGATCTGTATATTGATCCTCTATAAATCAGTTAGAACTTGGACAAGGATCATAAGGAACATTCCAAGCCATGCTCTTAGACCCACTTGATGAGTGGTATTTGAGAAAGCACATCAGAGCAAAATCCTTTTTAGACACGCAAATGGTGGCGGACTTAAAGCATGACAGAAAAAGGGATAGAGCAGAGTGTCCTAAAACTGCCCATGGAACTGAGCTTGAGTTATCAGGCTGTGGGAGAGCTGAATGTCTTGGTCCCGGCACCTGACAGAACTACCCTGAATCAGGCCTTGGGACAGCGTCTTCAAGATTTTGAAACAATAAATGGACTCTGTCCCTCAAAGTTTGTAAATCGTGAAGTGCTCACTGCTGATCTGGAGTTATAGATAGTTGCCCTCAAAAAACCATGGGTAGGGCTTCCCTGGTGGCGCCGTGGTTGAGAGTCCACCTGCCGATGCAGGGGACGCAGGTTCGTGCCCCGGTCCGGGAGGATCCCACATGCCGCGGAGCGGCTGGGCCCGTGAGCCATGGCTGCTGAGCCTGCGCGTCCAGAGCCTGTGCTCCGCAACGGGAGAGGCCACAACAGTGAGAGGCCCGCGTACCGCAAAAAAAAAAAACAAACCATGGGTAGTGTATATATTCAGAACGGCCAGTGTGAAAACAGTGAGATCCAGAAAATCCCACGACAGCCTATGTTCCTCACTTCACCATTTTTGCTCAATTCTCTGAAACTTGTGGTGCCTCTTGCATCAGCATATACCTCATATAGAGATTTTCAAAACTTTCTACCATTCTTAGTAGTGCCTCCCTCGGTACAAACACATCAACATTGGTGCCGCCAAATCAAAATCATCTGCAAACAATGTCAAGGAGATACTCGGAGTCGTTTTCAGGGGAGAGAGATTTTCCCATCTCAAGTCTAGGAGAAAACTGTGTCCACGTTCATGTGGAACTGCTCTCACAGAGATGCTATCTCATTTTGCATTAAACTTTAAGCAGGACAGATTGCTGAAACCATGATATTTAAGGTTTGACTTTTTAAAAATCTCATTACTCTTGAAACGAATGCTGCCACATCAGAGAATAACCTAAGGAGGAAATTCTTCCTTTCCTGTTTTTGCACTGAAATGCAGTTAGCCGACCAAATTATTGTTGCAATACTGCAATTAAATTAATTTTCACCCCTTTCAAAAATCTTGTCAAAGCAGGCAGCTAAATAGCTTAGCAAATGTAAAACATACCAGGCCATCTCCTCTAAACGAACCTTAGGCAGAGTCATGCCACGTGTGTCATTCTCATCTGAATGGGAGCTTATTTGGGGGCCCTTGAACTTGTACAGATGTGTTACTTGTTATTCCATGGCAGTGGATTTGCTCCAGGTTGTGGTAAACAATGATATAGTTTTGCATAATTTCAAATTAGTGTGTGCGTGTGTGTGTGTGTGCTCATGTTCCAAACATTTCCAATTACACTTGTCTGTTAAACACTTTAAAAAAAAAATCTAGAGACAGTTCTATTGCCTAAGGCATTTAAAATATTTTATGAGGCACATTATTCCCTTTGTGAAGACTTCAGGTAAAAGAAGTGCATTTCGTCTGTGTGTGTGTGCGTGTGTGTGTGTGTGTGTGTGTGTGTGTGTGTGTGTTTCCTGACACTGTAGTGGGAAGAGCCTTTGAAAGTGGCTGGGAGTGTATCAGCTTTTGCATTTGCTTGGTTTCAAATGCCTTCCCAGCTTTGTAGCCCTGAGGCAGAACCCTCTCTAAGCTGTTACTGCCAAGTATCCCCTCTAACATCAACAGGGTGTGCCCTGGAGGCAGCTAGGGGACAGTGCTGGGGTTCTGGCCCTGCCCAGGTCAGGTGCTAACTGAACTCACCAAGCCAGCCCAGGCTCTGCTCCCTGTGACTAAGGGGACAGACCTCGCCTGGGAGCCCAGTGGGCTGGTTTAGTGCCCACCGGAGCTATACAGCACTTCCGTCATTTCCCTTCGGCAGGGCTGCCTCGTATTTTCCTTTACAGCAGGAGAAAGGAGTGGGGAGCTCCTCAGGAATACCAAATAGGATATTAAAATACACTGGGGAGGAATACTGCGTGAGAAGGAAACAGTAAAGAAGGGAAGACAAAAATAACTGTCCTAGGAAGATGATAAGAGAGCACCTCTTCTAACAGGCCCAACCCTTTAAGCTACAGTAACCTATTTTTGTATTTATGTGCTGTATGGAAGATTTCTCATTTTATTTAAATTAAAAGTACGTTTTTTTTATTACTTTCTGAGATTGTTTTAGGAGAATTTTGTCATAGCTCTGAAGATGATTGGAAGTGCCCAGAAGGGACCAGGGACTTGAATTTAGTCATTGTCAGAAGGTCTTGAAAGATGGAGGTACTCTGCTTCCTTTCTAAGGAACTAGCCAGGCTTCCATACGTGTGGGTGGGAGGTGAGTGCTGTGCGACATTTGCTCTGATCCGGTGCTTTTTCAATTCTTCTCCAATGGCTTAAGAGGAGGAGGAGGAGGAAGAGTTGGGACTCACGTTTTTTTCCCCTTAAACCTCAGATAACAAGACAGGCAATTGGGGAGGAGGACATGATTTCTCAAAACTGCAATATTTTGTTAAGGAGAGGGATGAACACCTGCCCGTGGTCTTGGTTTATTTTTTGTTACACACTCACCCCAAGAACTAGGTAGGTGCCCAGCTCTGCTGTGGTCTTGCCACGTGCCATGTTCCCCATGGCATGAGATGACCGTGCTGAGAAGCCCAGTGGTGAGCCCAGCAGATGGTCTGCCGTCTAGAGGTACAAAGAGTCCTGTTCCCATCTTGTGATGTCACCCCAGTGGCTACTTTCACAGGACTCCCGGCCGTGCTGCCCCGGGAAGAGGGCTGGGAGCCTCAGCTTCCAGGGTGCCCTTCCCTCCAACCATTATCCTAATCGAAGACGATTCCTTCATGGACAATTGGAAGCTGGAGTTTTGGAAATCTAGCATTTACTTGAAAGAGAATCGTTCTTATTTATTGCCACCAGTTAAATATTATGGAAACATGTCTGCTAACAATTTGCTTTGTGTAATTTGTTCTAATGCTAATAAGCAACAGCTGGGACACTTCCTGTGGTAAATTCCTCTGTGGTTACAGTGGTATCATCACACATGGACTTCACCAAATCACTGTACTTGAGAAGAACGCTCACTCTGGC